TAGTAGGCCTGGACAACTGTCTGTGTGCAGCTGTCTGTGTTGGTGTTGCGCTCCCTTGTTGGATGCTGGGCCGGCCTGGCCGGTCCGGCCGCCGGCTCGGGTCACCTTGACCGGCACGTCGCGCCGGGGCGCAGCCCTGCGTGGCGCGCGGCGATTGGTTCGTGACCACGTGACCCGTGTCGGGGTCGGGTCGCCGGGCCGCGTGGAGCGCGACTGTTGGTGCAAAGCCGGGCGAGGCGGGCGTTACCGAGATGTCGGCGTGCCGCGGAGCGGAGGCTTCGAATAAAATGCATCGCGAACCATGCCTTCGGTCAATCTCGGCTAAACTTGCAGTATGCCGATGACGTAAAAATTTCCAGCAAAATGACGTCCCCGGCTGACCTGCTGTTGTAGTATGATCTCGATCATCTGGTAACGTGGTCCAGGGATGATAGAACGTGCCGACATGTTTGGTAAGGTCGACGACAGAAACGTACATTTTCACGCGACGTTTGGTGCCAGAAATACTTTTGACACACACTTTTCGTGACGTCCACAGAAAATAATGCAGCACACACCACACAACCTAACATGAAACTTCCACACATAGATATCATGTCTCCATGGTAACACATTTCGTCACTCAACACCAGCAAAAATTTCCGTTAAGACCATTTACCGTACCCAAAGACACCGAAGTATCTTCTTCTAGGTTTCACCCCATCCCGGCGACAACAGGATCCATTAATTTTAAGTTGTTCGCTCGACCCGGCGACAGACCGGCGACAAATCAGTGTGTTTCCCTTGACCCGGCTGGTTGGCAGATTCACTGTTTTCAACTTTCGTCGTCCCAAACTAGCCAGTATGAAACGCTGAAATATCTAGACGTAGGGATGCATCTGGCCTCAAAGGCATGTTTTAATCATTGCGATGGGACTGATACGGGATGGGCACTGCCTTCAATGCACTGCGACTTTGCAAACGGCATTGGCATTGCAGCGTCATGAATACCTGCCTGGGGTTTAAATTTTGGGCCTTGTTTATTTTGTTGGCGGTGTCGCGGCTCAGCAGTCTGTCCGCAGTGACGAGAAGCATTGACTGATCAGGGTACGACGGTGCGTTGATGCGATCGAGGTAAACATTGACCTATGATTTTCAAGACAACGAAAAGGTTGTTGACTCACTGCAGCAGACACAAGCGACCAGCCTTCCTCCATTTGGCAGGAATCGTGGGTTCGATGTCAAAAGCTAATGACACTCCTTATGAAAAGGAGTGAGAGATGTTCTTGAGTGCCCATTTATGTCATTTGTGCTCTTGTACCAATTGAGAACCGTTGCCAGTCATATGGATCTTCGAATGAAAGGTGCACCTAGTGTCCTTTGCTGTCCAGGGCTCCAGTCTCTTCCCCCTCTGTAAAGAAATGTGCCAATCAGGGAGGCATCCGTTTTTGGAGGCAGATTACGTACCTTTTACTGCTCCGCTTCACTACTCAGAGCATTTTACCCTACATCACTGCTCAAAAGCTATGGACCTTTTGCTAATGTCATTTGTGGTGTCTGTACATCTGTATAATACACAATGATGTAGAAAATGGAAAGACGATGAGAAGTGAGGAGTGCGGTGGTGTGGCAAATGTAGGCAATGGGGAGGGAGGGGAGGGGAGGGGTTACCGACTTTATTGACAAGTCCCCCTTAACCAAGAGGTTTCCAATTGCCATAGCAATTCAGCGAAAATCGACATTTGGTTCCCTATGAGGACGATGTTGACTTGCTGCTGGTGATAGCACTTCTACTGTAACAGGAAAACTGATGTCTGTAGTAATGTAGTAATGTAGCAATAGTTGTAGCAATGATGTAATAATGAAAACTGATGTCATGAACATGAAAACTGTAGAAGTACATCACTTTACAATGCTCATTCATGTGCACATTTTCTTTGCACTTGTAGACATGGCATTTACATCAATGCTGAGGTCATGTCTCTATTTTTCTTGTTAACATTAAAGGAAAACATTGTCTTGATGAAACCCTTAACATAACCGTGTATATTAAGTGCAGGTTGTGCAGGCAATCAGCCTACCTTGTATGCAACCCACATTGATATTGTAAATAAATATAGTTTGGTTGTGGCACAATGACAAGTATTGACAGTAATGTAATAGCAAGTATTGAGTAATGACAGTGATGGTAAGTAATGACAAGCATTGTGTAATGGCAGTAATGACATAAATAATGACAGCAATGACATGTAATGACAAGTATTCAGTAATAACAGTAATTACATGCAATGACAGTAATGGAAAGTACTGAGTGTTAATTTGCAGGCATGATAAGGGGGAGGTAGCAATTCACGGGCCTCACAGTCTCCTGCCTTCTAGACGTGGTCGTCAACAGATTCAGTCTTCTTTCCTTGGATTGTTGGCAATTTCTACTATTGATTTGTGTTTAATTTGATAGAAAACATATTTGAGGAGCATGACGGGCATGGTCGGTGAATCAGGTTCAGGATAAGATAGGTTTATGTTGTAATAGGCCTTTTTCTCATGTCTTTTTGTAATCTTCCAGCTAGAAGTATTATGTGTGTGTGGGGGGGGGGGGATTGAGGGGTCCAACACAACATGAGAGTTGAATGGGGGGCCAGGAATTGGTTTGAATTGAAACACCCGCATCATGCACGGCAAGTGTTACAGATAAGCTTAGATTCGCATGCTACTTAGCGTGCAAAGGACAATTTGGCTTGCTGGTTGAATTTCTACCAATGCATGGATGTTGCTGACGAAATGTGTCATTCTGAAGAAGTAGCTGATTTGTTCGTGATCTGATATACATATTTCTACACCGGAAAAAATAAAACAAGTAAGAAGGGATGATAGCCACAATTTTACCTCTTATCCTGATTCGCTTTCGTCCTGATGCGTCCGCTCTCGTGACGCAGACTGCGAGAAGGCGGTGGGCGACCTTCTGCCGTTTGCCAACTAAGAAAGGTAGGACCTCTCGGAAAAAACATGAAATGGCTTTAACGAGATCTTGCGATTGGTAAAAGTCTCACGTTGTTAGCTGACCCACTAAAAACCAGGCCTAGGGTCAAATTTACCTGAAAATTAAACCATTTCATTTTGGTGTCGTGAAATGACGGAACCATGCAGCGCAGATACATGTAACATAGAGAGGCATGCTCCCTGTTTAATTATCAGTACAATGGCATATAGTCTTATCTGTTCCGAGCCTATATTTGTAACGTAGGGTTTCGTTAATCTAACAGTGTCAGCCCTTCGCACGCGGTCCGCGGAATCGTCGCTTGTCGCCCGCCGTCTCCCCCCCCCCCCCCCCCAACCTTGGATTGTCTTTCAGCGCTCGTAAAGGGCCGTCGGCTCTCCGAAACCAGGAATGATAAGGACACGTTTGCGGTGCCAACACACGCGCAATGGATGCCTCAGAGGCCACCAAAGATTTGAGCGAGACTGCCCAATGTGCCGGACTGGTATCCTCAGAAAGCCTTGAGGGGACCGGAGGCATCGTATCGCCCACCTCCCCGAATTCCAAGGCGAGTATGTTGTTAAGAAATAGAGCGGTCTGATTTGAAGCTGTCAACGAATTTAAATGCCATTTGCTTTTTGGCACACGGCGAAAGGCGCCCGCCAGGCAACACCTGTTGCGCCAGGCTTGGAGCATGCCTGAGTTTAATGAAGGTTGAGGTAGGGCTCGAAGCACAGACGTAATTTTCATAAGGGACATGACCTCGAGGAGGCCCGCATATTGAACGCCATCTCCCAGTGCTGCCTGGAGCCGTTTTGAGCTCTGCGACACATTCAGGTGCCTTGGCTATCAAGGTCCTCGTATTTTTTGGCCGCCAAGGAAAGCAAATTCAGCCGTAGATCGAGTTTAAACGTGAGGCCCCGGCGAGTCCGACGGTGGAAGACGACTGCGTTTGTGGTTGGGCTATCCCATAGTTTAGGGACGGTGTAGCCTTCGTGAGGCGATGGCGATACCACATTTGTCTTCAATGGCACACTTCAAGGAAGGTCTTTTTGGAAAGAAAGACACCAAACTACTGATGATCGATGACAATTGAATACTTTCCTTCCATTCATGGCATTCATGTGAACCGAGCCTGGCGAGATCACTGTGGCATAAGTCCGATTTCCTCAAAGCGAGTACAGATTAAGGATTTCAGCTTTCCACGCTGACTTGATTCAGCTCCGATGTTGCGCCTTCAAACTGAAACGCCATCGTTGTTATCATGGTCTCATCATGTTTCCAATTTTCGTTACGTTATCTAATATCGGGTCAGCACCTCCGCAACGCTAGCATCCACGCATCAGCCCCTCTTGTTTGTTACTTGTTTGATATGACATCGGAACCTAGACCTGTCACATTTTCAGTGTTCTGTGTCTGTTCACCTTTCCACATAGCCTATCTGCATCTGGTCAGAACACTACCGCACCTGAGCGTCACGGCCGCGCCTTGTCTGCCTGGTCTGCAGTCTGCCTCTGCTGCCCTCGCGCGCCGCCCCCCCCCCCCCTCCAAAGCGGGCGTCCGCACGCCACCAGACCCCTCCTAGCACTAATCACGCATCGGGCGTGGCTCGCGGGCATGGGTGTACCGACGCCGGGACCGCAGTTCGCTGCCGTCGCGCCGTGCTGCCACTCGGGTAGGAGGCACGCACCGGAGCGGCCCGCACCAGCGGTGGGCACGCACCTGCGCGTTGCACAGGCTCCGCGACAGCCGTGCTCCTCGCTACATCTGGATTTGGATCTGGACTCTACACGAAAGATGGCCTCCTTGAAATCCCAAACGGCGCAAGTCCATCTGGGTCCCACGAAGCCGGACGGACCAGGTGCGGTGGCTGCGAGGCCCGCTCGGACACAGTGCGTCAGCGGGATGACGGCATAGCTTTGCGCGGTGGCGACGAGCGCAGATGGGTCCCACGCGCCGGCGGTGGGCCGGCCGGACCCCGGCCGGCGGACTCCGTGGCGCTTGCGCGTCGTCGGCGGCGGCCGTTGCGCCGCCGACACCGGCCGGCAGTCGGTGTGGCTCTGATTCCAGAGGCGAGTGGCCGGCAGTGCGCCCTCTCAGGTGAGCCGCCGCTGACCCGGCCTTCGCCCACGACCCACCGCTGCTGGGGCCGAGCGGCCACCAGCAGCGGCATGGCACAGGTGACGAGAGTTGTCTGCTCGAGGGCTGCAGCGGCCGGCCGGAGCACCCGGCTTGGCTTGAACTTAAGATTCATGCGCGAATTATCCCCGACATCACCGCTTGTCAGCTCAAAAATAGTTTAGCTGCAGATGCACGTTACTCAATCTAAGGATCGTGCAACACAGAGTCATTTGATACGAGCTCTCCTGATGATCACCTTGAACGCGTTCTGCTCCAGCCGAACAGAGCGGCACAACTTTGGAAATTGTGTCGTGTTGCAGCTGTTTGATGGACAGTTTGTGACACGTCCAACTCCAGGTCGATTTCTGTTTTAAAAGCTGTTCTGGCTACCGTTTTCTTACTAAAAACTTGGATTACATTGGCTTTTGGATGTTGAGCAGCGGTTGAGATAATCTCTCTGCAGCTTAAAACCCAAAGTTGAAGATATTTTTGCAGGCGAAAGGCTGATGAGCACTGGCAGTCTTAGCAAAACAAGGTTTAAAAATAGCGTAAGGGAACTTCTTTGAACACGCCCCAATAATGCAAAGATAAGCATAGATAATCCGAGAGCATAATTGATCAAATATGATCAAGGTCATCTAAACCGTTTTTGCGCGCTAACACAACTAAGACGTTCAGGGAGTACTCCAAAACGCTTCAATCCCTCAAAGATGCAAATGTCCGAAAACTACACGCTTCCGTCATATTGCCACACCCACAAGCTGCATAATTTAGCAGCAATTCGGGTATAACTTTGGCCTACGGCCCTTACGGGCGTCCTGAATCAGACGTGAAGAGGACGGTAATCGGGACGAAGAACCCCGCGGCCACATGTCACAGACGTGTACGTCCTCGTCCTCCCGACGTCCTCCCGACGAACGTACTCCGTCGCAGGTCCTCCCGACGAGCGTACCCTGCCACAGCTCCTGCCGACTGACGTACTCCGTCACAGCTCCTCCCAACGGACATACACTGCCACAGCTCCTCCCAACGGACGTACCACGTCACAACTCCACCCAGCTGACGTATCCCGTCACGGCTCCTCCCAGCTGACACACCCCGTCACAGCTCCTCCCAGCTGACGTATCCCGTCACGGCTCCTCCCATCTGACGTACCCCGTCACAGCTCCTCCCATCTGACGCATCCCGTCACGGCTCCCCGGACGAACGAATAATATGCACGGAGCGAACTACGTGGCATCAGATATTAATTAAAATCTTAGGTCACTATTCCAAGAGTGGCTCCTGGCCTCCTACCTGGGGTTATCGAAAGGTCATTATATTTGCCAGCCGGTCTGATTTCATCGCCCCCGACTGGCGCGCGGCGCGGCGATCGCAGCCGGCGGTCGGGATCCGTACTCGTGGGAAGCGGTGGGTTCGTCGGGCCGGGGGGAGTGGTGGTGGGGCTCGATTGGCTCGGGGAGCGGGGACAAGGTTTGCCCGCCCGTCCCGAAGAGTGGTCACGGGGTTGCCATGTGTGGGAGGGGTGCGTCAATCCAGTTACTGTCATCTTCACGTCCAGCTCTGGACAGCCGTGAAGCCCGTCAGCCAAAGCATTGTCGCCAAAGAGTGTGGGTCGTTGGCAACGGGGTCAGTAGTTCTCGGACATAAGAATCTTTCAGCGATTAAAATGCCTTAGAAAAGTCTCTAGACATCTATGTTGTGTTAACGCGTACATATGGTTCAGATGACTTTGATCAGATGAAACCATGAATCGACAAGAGTAAGTATAAGGATGAATCATGCAGACACTCGTTCAGCATTCGTGTGTTTCTGGAATCTTAAAATGCAGTGAATTTGGCGTAATGAATTCTTTACCGACAAAATTTGACCAGTATGCGGAGATATAATAAAGGCTACCATATCCATCATCATTTAAAATCTTGTTCCAGATTATAATTGTATGTACTTTAAGGTGCCACATTCTGATCATTCTTCGAATTAAACAATATTTCTTTTAAAGCGTAAACAAATGTTTGCACACTTGTCATGTGTTCTTCTTGTATGTCCTATGATTACGTCCGTATGGAACTTGAACTTGATTCGCGGAGAGAACTACTCATTATTTTGAGTCATAATCACGGTGTATGGCAGACCATTCCAAGCAAGGCCGACATGGCTCTTTGTTGAATGAGTTAAATGAATGTAAATTATGGTGTGCATGCATTCATATTGAGTGCACGCCACATGAGGCATATGTTTTACGAACCGTCATCGGGATTTACGACGCACTCAGCTACTGAGGTTATATGGCGTCACCTGTCTGTGACCCTGGCAGAAAGGGCGTGAACCATGTGAAATCAAGCCCCGTTTCTTTGGTTTCCCAGTCGCATTTGAACTAATTTTGCTGTTTATTTACGGGCTGAATGTTTTGTGACACGAGAAGGACATAGTGTTTCTTGAGCGTGTCTTTTCACAGCTGTTGATCCGGTAGGTTGGTCCAGGCAGCCGATTTGTGACATGACTGCAGCAGGTGGCTTTCCATAGTCATGTGTAGTGAAGTCGACTTTTCCAATGGCGAACAATGCCTTAGCCACTTTTGGAAGGAGAAATAGTATCAGCAGAATCAGGAGTTGGTTTCAGCCAAATAGCGCACCGCCCCAAAACGGCCGTAAACATAACAGAGAGTGGCTAAACACTTCCAACAGAAGAAGCTCGGTTGTTTCTCCAATGTGGAGTGTTGATCACGTTTCTCCAACCTGAATCAGCCGAATTGTTACCTTGGGGCTTCTTACAGCAGTTCTTTTCCAAAAACAAACGCAAAGCCCTACGCGAATCGAAAAAAGCAGCACCGGAGGAACTGAGCCCGATCTCCGCAGGACTTTGCGTGAGAACGCTGAAAACTCGTGCACTGAGCACGCACATGTGAATTACGTAACGAAGGACGAGAGAAGCGTCATGAATATGTCATCGATCGAGCTGGCCTAGACTTTGACTGACTAGAAAGCCGGACGTCAAGTGGAAGCTTGCCAGACAGTGCTGTGAACCCTCATATTTGCTTTACTTCAAGGACAGTGCTATTAATATTGCACTTGGGACGGCTTCCGCTGGTACCCAGCGTGCCATTAAATGACTGTGCTACAAACCCGAATGTTCCAGAATCTGTTTAATAGCGTGTCATATGCAAACCACTGATACCTGCACGTTGCGATTAACAACGAAATGTGCCATGAAGGAGTTAAGGTGCACTGAAATTGTGCTGGATGTACGAAAGTTAATATAGAGTCAAATAAATTGGTGGGTCATTTTTGAGACAACTGATAAGCACTTCAGTTATACGCATAATTATAAAAGTGTCATGGCTGCCTGTGACGAATTTCGGTGCACTTACAAACGCAATGGCTTAGCCAGGATTTAGCCCAGGAGGTGGCCAAACGGGGTCACGGGTCACGATTTGCATTTTCGCAAGTCCCCCTGTTCATCGCCGTAGGACCCGTTTTTTCATTTGGGGGACATGTTTAGACCCATAATTCTATTTTGATGCCTTGGCACCCACTCTTTATTCTTAAAAAGCCATTGAATCGGTTTAAACTGTCAAAAAGTACTGAGCTCTTTAGTCCTAGAGGACTTCCACCACCTCCAGGAAGAGGGGGGGGGGGGGGAGGGAGGGAGGGGAAGGCTTGGCGCCAAAAACATACCCTTTGTTACGCCACTGCACGATCAACACTGTGAGTGTCTGTTATCGCCCTATTTTCTTTTAGCACATGTGATGGGAAGCAAGCTTACCTAAATTCCGTCGTCATAGAAATTAACTGCTAGTGATCTGAAAAGGAGATGTCTGAATTTACGCCTGATTTTTGCATAATCAAATAAAGCTTGCCTGGTTACATTTTCTAGTGCCACGTTTTTCTGTCGGTATAAGCCTTGACAGTATCAATATTGCCGTATAGCGTGTGGAATGCAGCACCGTACTTGATCAGTTCAGAAATGATTACCACGAGCCCAGCTCTGCTTCGCTTCGCGCCGCCTATGACCTGACACAGGCCGCAGGCGGGCTGAGATGTGACCAGCTGTAACTGAGATGTGATGTGGGCTGAGATGTGACCAGCTGTGGAGCCGACTTCAGATCAGCTCGGCCCACAAGGAGAGCGCCGGGAACATCTCATACGAGTTCTCAGTCAGCGCCTGTGCACGCTCCAGCAGCCCACTGTGTCCAACTGGAATCGCAGCGTCTCGCCGTGTCCGAGTCTAAGTATAACCGCATGGCAGTGAAATTGCGCTCACAGGATTATGAACACACATTTCGAAGACGTTGTTGTTAAGATGTTGGAAAGAATGTAAGCTCTTCGCGGAGTTGTGAGAGCCGAATTTATGATCAGGAGTACATGGTTCATCACCGAACGCATCGCGGTTTGTCAGTGATCGGTTTAGGCACGGCAAAAAACGGGCGATTGACGTAATATGCTGGTTATCAGACTTTAGCTTCCTCATTTGTGACGACTGTGGTGTGTTGCATGGACCGTTTCATAGTGGTAAAGGCTGCCTATAATTGCTTTGCACGACTCAATTCCTGGTTGAGCACGTTCCTGAAACGCACTATGTGGTTCGTTCAAGAAGGCAAGCAGTCTGGGGTCAACTCGAAGAGCCATTCATTGGCTAGCTACCATTCCCCTCACGATCGCTGTTCAGGCTCGTTCCTGCGGCCGTGTTCATTTGCCCGCACTGGGAGTTCAGCGCATCTTTTGGCACTGCCAGATTTGGCCGCGAGCCAGCCCGGCTCAGATTGTTGCCAGAGCTATCGCAGACATTTCTGCTTTGAATGCGCGGAGAGTAGAGATCCCTGATGGTGAAGCTCTTTTTGGATTCAATTTTTAACATCGAATCAAATCCGTTTTAGATGGCCTGGAATCGAATCTCGGACCAATGAACTTTTTCCAGGCTTCTAAATCCAAGCCGGCCAAGCCGGCGATTCGGCTGGCCAAAAATAATAGTATTATGAA